CGGATAGTGTTACTAACACATTTAATGTACAGTAGCTATGATCATAATCTTTCACTTCTATATTTAACTCGCATGACACACTTTTGCACTTTCTGGCATTTGGTATGTAAAATACTTATCGCTATTCATTATTTTTCATTTCTATAATTAATGTATTGTATAACATCTATTCACCTTGAAAAAAGAAGCTAACCTAAACCTCTAAATAATATACAATAACTTAATTTTCATGTTTATCTTTAAGTTGGTTTGCTTCACTAAAATTTAGTTGTAAAAGATCTATGTAGATAGCTATCATCTATACTATTATTCTGCTTGTTTGTATTTAAGACCGTTATGCTTTCTGACTGAGAACCTGCTGCATAAGCATGCGAAGGTATGTTTCCCCCAAGAAAAACCGCGCATGCGCATTATTCACTCGACGACAAACCGAGCTGCAGAGCTCAGTCATCAACTCGCTATATTTGCTGTATGAAACAAGAAGTAACAACAAAAGGGGAATGTAAATATACTTTACTAACCATTTTGTACAACAGAATATTAAAAACTTTGATACGTTTTTAAAAAAGCTTAGGTCGTAGAATAACATTATAAGTTTATTTATCGGTAATATTAAGTAAAGTAAAGTTTAATCCTAACTAAACTAAAGTAAAAAAAAACGACACACAGGTCACAGTGTTAATTTATCATTTTATCGAACTTAGGCCTAACATAAATTAAATTTTTATAAAGTACGGCCTATATACTTTCCCCAAAACTTTGTCTTCAAAATAAGGGTGCGTCTTATATTCCGAAAAATACGGTATATAAAAAATAGGGTGATCATATATGTCCTAAATTTTTGGGAACAGTCCGCGGGATAAAATATTTCTAAAATACTCTTACATTTCATTGCTTATATTATGAAGTTTGCTGCAAAATAAGTTGTAAATAAACATTCAGTAAGTTATTATTATTATTAGCTTTATATACAGCATCGCCATCTGACGACATTGGTGCAGTCGCCATAGCTACGACTTCGAATACGTCATAGAACCTTTTCCAGTCATTATTCACAACTGATTATCTAGTATTAAGGTGTAAGATTAGGTCTGTATTTAAATTAACTACAAATAAGTAAAAATAGCATTTTTATTGAACTAAGAATCGTAAATACTGTTTATGTCTGGAATTATAGTGATTACAGGTACACATTTTATATATAATTGTCCTCAGGTTTGGTATGCAAAATGTGGTCACCTAATAATTTATACTAGCAGAGACCCGCAAAACATTTCCGGCCAAATTAGTATCTTTATCGTAACAGTACTTATTTAAATATAACATTTCTAGCACAATACAAACGAATTGTAATCGTTGACAACGAAATGTGTAAATCCAATTTTTTTACTATACTAACTTTACTAACTCCATTACTATAATTTATTTTTTTATTATTTAGGGAGCATTATAAATAGTTATGTTTTTAAACGAAAAAAACTACTATTGTTATAAATAACTAAACTATGCATGCCTGTTTAAATATATTTACTCATAGCTTGTGTTTGTTTGTTTGTTTTTAATTTCGCGCAAAGCAACACGAGGGCTATCTGCGCTAGCCGTCCCTAATTTAGCAGTGTAAGACTAGAGGGAAGGCAGCTAGTCATCACCACCCACCGCCAACTCTTGGGCTACTCTTTTACCAACGAATAGTGGGATTGACCGTCACATTATAACGCCCCCACGGCTTAAAGGTCGAGCATGTTTGGTGTGACGGGGATTCGAACCCGCGACCCGCAGATTGCGAGTCGAGCGTCCTAACCTCCTGGCCATGCGGGGCCGGATACAATAAAAAAAAAAGGTTAGTCTTTAGATACGGGGAAGAGAACGGCGCGGAACTGAAACTTCAAGGTTTTTAGGAATTATGGGAAAAGTCTTTCGGGTTCTAGAAACGTGCAACAAAAACAGTGTTCAGACTCTACAGAAGCGGGACATATAGAGTTTAAACTTAGGAAATACGAAAGAAAAACATTGTTAACAATCGGGAATTTACGTTGCAAACACATGTAAGAAAAACAAAAAAAAACATTAAAGCTTTACACGTGTGAAGCAGAAAGAACGATGTTCAGGCTTTACCCAAGTAGGCCAGAAATACGCTTCGACTCTAGTACTATAAGACTGTACAGTGTACACTCGTTTAAACTCTTTTTTTGGACATACTTTAAGAGTATCAACACTGTTTCGAACATGAATAAACTATTTTAGGTTTAAAATGTAATATGTTGCTGTATATAACAGATTACGGTTTTATGCAAACGTACGTTCTTTATTTACAGTCTTCAATTTCAATTCATTGAAACGTTTTCTTTAAACTTAGATAAGAACAAATAAAATAAAGATGACATAATCTAATATATTTCTTTACAAATTGTACTAATTGTTGAGAATAAATTATCATAGTTGAGGGAGATATTAAAAGGCTATATCAAACCTAATATCATCGCTATATCCAAGCATATTTTAATTAAATTCTATATTTTACACCGGCACAAAAAAAGCTCTAACTCTAACTTCATGCTTAACGAAGACAAATAGCAAAGTCCAACTGTCAGTATAAATATGTTACACGTAATTTTAAAATAAAAACAAAACAAAACAATATCCCATTGTGTAGTTTCTACATGAAGTCTGTCGTAATTTGAAGATAGGCAAGTAAAGGCTGATCTAATAAACAAGGTAAGGAAGAGCACGACTTATGGATTCCAGATATAATAAAAAAAATGCTGCTGTGGAAATAATAATAAAATTCTACATCATGTTGGCGTACTAGAACACTCTAACCTTTGAGTATTGCAGAATAATATTTTTTTATTCGGCTCGAATGAATAATAATGTCATGGTATGAAGCCCTACGAGATTCTGTAAGTGCTTGTAGCCTTTCATAAAGAAACCTGAGAGGTCCCTAAACCCAGGACAACCACCTTAAAGTCTTTATCTATACAGAGAGGGAGGGAGGGAGAGAGAGGAAAACAAGAGTCTCGCTTTTTCCTAGCATTGCTATCTTCAGCTAAATCCCTTCTCCCCCAAAAATAAACTAAATGAAATTACGAACGCATTACACTGCCGTCCTGCATGGCATAAATAACGATAATGCTGGAAAAGTAAAAAGCTCAAAGAATAATTCAAACGCTCAACACGTTTACATAAATGGTGGACCTAATGGATGAAAGAAAACGAAATTAGCAAGGCGTGAGATCTGACATGATTAAGACAGAAGTACAATGTCTATTTACTACAGCTATTCGAAAGACATACGTAACATTAAATACATACACATATAAGTGTAAAAATATGAAATAATGTTTATTTGTTTGAAGTTAAGCACAAAGCTACACGGATATCGAAACCCGGTTTCTAACGCTGTAAGTCCGCAGACATACCGCTGTGCCACTAGGGGGCGTACATATAAGGACAAATAATAAAGTATATTTCCAGGATAACACTGATA